GACAGCAACAGAGGTGCTGCTCATAAAACGGCATACGCCAAACACAGAAGCCTTTTCCAGATGCACGTACACATTTTATCGGTTGTTTTTCATTTTTGATTTTTATTTTCTGTTTTGTTTTCATGTCGACTTGCTGGAAAAAATATGATTATCTAAAGGCCTAATTTCATCAAATCACATCAGCCACTTCACTGCTCCCACACACTTTCTTTTTAAAAAAAATCGAAAAAATTACATCTAATCGTACTTTAGTGTCATAACTCAAATTGTGTACATTTCAAAGAAACAAGACAGCATCTTCAATTAGCCGTCAATTACACCTTCCCGCCTCGACCGAGATCCGGAAATATATCCAGGCTTCGGTTGGCTCACCTGACCGCCGAACGGCGCGCACTGCGAAGAGCACCAGGCTCGCGACGAGGCCCGCGGCCAGGGACGCGCACAAGCCCTCCAAGGGGGACATGCCCATGCCATGTCAGGCCCGGGCGGGACGCTCTGGCTGCGCTGACACATACAGACTGACACCGGGCGGCCACGCACAGCCAGGCCAGCCCGGCCCGGAGCCGGCGCGGCGGAGCAGCGCGGAGCAAAGGTGGAGCGGGACGGGGCGGGAAGTCGAGTCCAATATGGCGGGAGAACCGAATGGGATGACGCCTGTGAGCGGCGCGACAGCGCGACACGCGGGGAGCGAACACCCTGACCATTTCAGTTGCCAACGCGAGAGTCGCGAAAGGAATAGGTGTCGACGTGGGCGCGTGACAGGTTTCAGTTTAGCTACTCTACTCACCCAACGATGGCGATGCTGGCGACGCGGCCGACGAGGGAGTGGCGCAGGCCGCCCTCAGCCTGGACGCCCTGGTGGTGCGCACAGCCGGCGCCCGCCCCGGGGACGAGGAGGACGACGACGGCCCCTCCTCCGGGACGGCTGCCCGGCGGCTGGCGGTGCGCCTCGTGGACAGCGGCGTACGGGCCACGGGCTGCCTCCGCGGCGCGCCCGTGCCCTCATCGCTGGAGGTGGCGCCGCCCCCGCCGGGCCTCGCGAGAGCCGCGCCGGCGTCCCGCGGCCCGAACTGCGCCTCGAGCTGTCTGCGGCGCTCCTCCTTGTAGCGCGCGATCCTGGCGCGCGACTGGTCCGCGGCGGCCTCTTCCCCCATGGCGTCGGTGGCGTCCTGCGGGTCTCGGTGTGGCGCGGGCGCAGGTGGTGGTGGGGTTGTGTGTGGCACGCTGCCCTCCCTGGACCAGGTACACCATGTCACGGGGACGACCCAATCCTCGTCGCAGTCGGTGACATCGGCGAGGGTCTCGTAGCAGTAGTCGTCTGTGCCGCAGTCGGTGCGCACGGGCACCGAGTCGGTCCGCAGCACCTCCGAGCACTCCTCGAGCGTGTCCACGTAGTGCGTAGGCCCGCTGGGGGAGCCGCTCGGCTCAGAAGACCCGCTGTCGCCGTACTGGAAGGACGAGGACGTAAGGCTGTCGGCGGTCACGCCGTCGATCAGAGCGCTCTCGGACAGCAGGTGGTGGACTGCACGGTCGTCTTCATCGACGCCGGCGTCCTGGTCGTCCTGGTGGACGCTGGAACAGCAGCGACAGCGTTGGTGTTGGTGTTTATGGCGCCCTGAAGAAGAGGTGGCCACATCCTCACGGAAGACGCGAGCTACTTCTCGGTCCGCGGCCGCGTCCTCGCTGTCCTCCTCTTCATAGTTCTCCCCCCGACGTCGCCGATGCCCTTGGCAGGTCGGCCTCGACGGTGGTCTCGACCAAGAGCCGGTGAAGCTGTGATCGACGCCGAGTTGTTCCCGGGGGGAAAGCGGGTACTCCCCGCTGATTGAGGTGGTAGTGGTTGTCGGGTCCCAGGAAGAATCCTGAGTTTCTTCTCTACTTGAAAGGTCTCTGGAATTTGAATATGCTTGATCGTCTTCCCTGAAAAAATCTCTGGATTCGCTACAATCTTCTCTGTTGTAAGGACTTTCAGAATAAAGCCGGTCCTCTTTGTGAGAATAATTTTCTTCTCTAATCGAGTACGATCGGCCGTCTCTAGAATCGGACGGGCTGTAAGAACAGTCTTTGCTGTAAGGTAACCTGGAATGTGAAGAGTCGTCCCCTGATTCGGCCGGCTCTTTCCGATCCTCAGATCTGGAGCGACCCGTAAATGACTCAATAGATCGTGAAAGATCGGTCGCACTCCGGGACCTGGATACGTTATCCGGCCAAGGCTGCTTGTTAAAAGGGTGGTTTTTTGGGTCCCAAGAGATCGATGTGGAAGTAAGTGCTGCACTACAATTTGAAGGAGGGTCCTGTAGATCCTGCAGGCCCTGTGGCTCCTGCTGATCGGGCTCCAACGAGTCCTGGTGCTCCTCGGATGAGTACACTCCCGTGTAGCAGAGTTGGAGGTAGTCCTCGAAGCGACAAGTGTCGTACTCGAAGCTCACTCGTCGCTCATCGTCCTCCTCCTCTCCGTCATCCTGTAAGTCCTGTAGGTCCTGCTGCGGCGGCTGTTCACGCTGCTCCTCTGGCCTGGTAACCTGCTGGCAGTCCTGCTGGCAGCTCCTGGCCCGCAGCAGCAGGAGCTTGAAGATGTTCGGCTCACCAGCGGAGTCGCCTCCTGCAACATGGAAGCGCCGACCGAATTAGACCCCTGATCTCCTGTTCCCCAACTCAAAACATGCCAAAACAAAGAGACCGATGGACGATCGAAGGGCAAGAGAGAAGTGCTATAGAGAATAGAATCTACGACCACACTATATCTAAGCAAGGCAAGGGCATAACACAGACGACAATATCTCAGCGGAGCTGAAGCTACACGCGTCTAGCGCCCTAGCGCCCCCGAGCTAGGCAACCCAAACAGCTCCTACGTGGTGTGGATGGAAGGCTGACTGGCGTGGCCGGGGCCGCCGGGACGCGGGAGGGCGCACCATGGCTCGTCGCCGAACAGCGCACGCGGGCGCCATCCCTCTGCAGCACCCTCTCTCGTGGCAGCACGCGCGACCAATGTACCCCCAATTTATCGACTGTCCCTCAGCCCCCAGTCCCCCTCCCGTCCCACCTGGATTCCACGTGTCTCCTCGCCGTTCCCACAATATTGGACTTCAACCTCCTGTGCTCGCGCTCCCCTCCTAAATAAAAACAACGGCGCAATAATACAGCCACGTGCAGAGGAGAACAATATGCATAGCCCAGCCCAGCTTTGGGACCACGAGCCACGGCGGCCAGCATCAGCATGTGAGTGTGTGGAGGGGGGGCTCATGCTGATTCACCTGACCCGCTGCCTGACGGTCCTGTTTATGCCCGTCGGCGCGCGGCGCGCACGGCAGCAGCACGGCACAGCAGGCGCATTCCGAGCGGGCGAGTCAAGGAACCCGACGGGGAACCCGAGGAGGATGAGGCCACGGGCGGCCACGGGCCATGGGGCACCGGGAGGCGCTCCGCCACGGCCACCCATGGCAGCCACGCCTCGGTCACGGGTGTGGCGGGGCGGGGCCAGGGGGCCAGGGGCCACTCTGGTATCCTTTCTCTCCTGCCGGTCCCGCTATAGGCCGCCCCGCCCCGCCCCACCCCGCTGTTGCCCCGCTGTTGCCCCAGGTCAGCAGGCGGGGCGCGGCGACCATCCGCCGGCTCCAAAACAACATCCATCCTACTGTACACCGTGCGCACAAAGTATGTAAGCTGCTGGTTTCCCGCTGGTGGAGAAATTCGAGCCAAACCTCCTGCAAAACAGTTGCGAGTCGTCCACTATACACTATGCATGCATACCGCCTCTTCTCGCCGCTGCGAGATCCCTCTCTTTTACGACGTGATGTAAGTGAAATAGGGCGGCTCCTTATGCTGGCGAGCTCGCGCCACCCACCAAATAAAACTCTTCCGAACATCGCTGCTGGCGGGGCGGCGGCTCAGCACCGTGGCGCAGCGTGGGGCAGAGCGCAGCCGGGCGGGCCGGGAGTATTTGGGAAACCAAACTAGTTCTGTTCCGGTTCCCTCCGGATGCGTCGCCTCGCCTCTTGCGCCGATAATGCAAAACGGTAGGCAGGGCGGCGAAGAAAGTGGTCGCACAGGTCGAGTCGGGTCGGCGTGTGACCACGTGTGACAGTCGATCTGGAGCAGGGGCCTGGCTGGCCCCCGTGTCAACATCT